CACTGTATAGCAATATTAAAATCTAATGAAAAACATTCATCAGCAAATAATGTTGATAACTCTCTTCATGGTTTCTTCAGCTTCCCCATAAAATTATTTCTAAAAGAGTGGCATAATAGGGAGAAGTGATGCAGTCACAGGAGAAAATGGAACATGTGGAAGCGCAAGGCCCATTCAGACTTTCACCTCCAAGTATTTTCAGAGAACTTGAAGGGAGGAGGAGCCGGACTACAGACACTAGCCACTCATGCTCGCTCTGCCCTTAGACCACTTCTACAGCATCAGCACCTCATATGTTGATCAAAGGGATTAAAGGAGAAACCCTTGTGTATTCATCTGAATGTTGCCAACAGCTTCCCCGCTGACCAGAGCTAGGAAGGGAGGAGAAATGTGATTCAGATCACATTTAAAACCGAACCTTACAAACCTGCACTTTTCAAAGAAATATGACAAATGAACCACAGCCTTCCTCCAGAAGTCACACTTGTGGGGTAACTGAAGGATTAGGTGAGCAGCCTGGGAGTCATCTTGAACTCACAGCTGTCCATGGAGGTGCAGGTCAATTCTGTGTCCAGGGCAGCTGTCTACCAACTCCATCTGGTATGCAGGCTGAGACCCTATCTGCCCACGGACTGTCTCGCCAGAGTGGTGCATGCTCTGGTTATCTCCCGCTTGGACTACTGCAATGCGCTCTGCGTGGGGCTACCTTTGAAGGTGACCTGGAAACTACAACTAATCCAGAATGCGGCAGCTAGACTGGTGACTGGGAGTGGTCACAGAGACTGAGCACAATTCAAAATGTTGGTGCTGACCTTTAAAGCCCTAAATGGCCTCGGCCCAGTATACCTGAAGGAGCTTCTCCATCGTTTAGCCAGGACACTGAGGTCCAGCTCCAAGGGCCTTCTGGCAGTTCCCTCACTGTGAGAAGCAAAGCTACAGGGAACCAGGCAGAGGGCCTTCTTGGTAGTGGCGCCTGCCCTGTGGAATGCCCTCCCATCTGATGTCAAGGAAATAAACAACTATCTGACTTTTAGAAGACATCTGACGGCAGCCCTGTTTAGGGAAGTTTTTTATGTTTGATGTTTTATCGTGTTTTTAATATTATGTTGGGAGCTGCCCAGAGTGGCAGTTAGGGCCAGATTATCATCATCGTCGTATAGCTGAGAATCACTAACAAAAATGCATTATATTGGGGAAAATTGCCAGCAAATATGTGTATGTCACTCAAAGCTTTGTATAAAACGGTGTGCATTAGAAAACAGTTTGCATTAGAATACCGGAGGATTTTGATGCAGATTTTTTTTAAAAAATCCTGCAGAAATGTAGAGAACTGAATTTAGAATATAAGATTATAAAATGAGACAATTGGATTAGGTCAACCACCCATCTAGTTCAGCATGCTATACTCAAATGGCCTGTGGAAAAGCCTCAGGCAAGACCCTATGAAACACCCTTCAGATGTCAAGGATATAAAAAACTTTACAACTTTCAGAAGACATCTGAAGGCAGCCCTGTATCAGGAAATTTTTAATGTTTGATGCTTTGTTATGTTTTATATATTCTGTAAGCCACCCAGAGTGGCTGGGGGAACCCAGTCAGATGGGTGGGGTAACAACAACAACAACAACAACCACCACCACCACCACCACAACAAAAAGAGCCCTCTCCCCACCTGTGGTTTCTTGCAGAGCCGTAGCTAGGTGATCTTGCGCCCCTGGCAGAACCGTCCAGATTGCGCCCCCTAGCCACAGACAAATTAGCTCTTCTTTCCGCCTTTCCACCACCCATTCAATTCCTCACGCACTTCACCTTGTATTGAATTCTTCCACAGAAAATCCAACATTTAATTTATTATTTCTTAATAAAAGGTTTCAGCAAAGAAAATGACATTTTGATGTGAGTTGACAGTTTAAAAAAATGTAATTCAGTTGTAAAACCCTTTGCGGATCTTTACGTTATGATTAATCCCCCTGCATTTCCTTTATACTTTCAATTTTTGCTAATCTTTTGTCAGGGAATGCTCTGAAGAGGAAGGTTGGGGAACGCAGACGCAGGCAGACCAGCTCAGTTCAGAAGAGGAGGGGGAATATCCACTGACTCCCCTCGCCTCCAGCATTCTCAGAAGCAGAGAGGGAGAGTCAGACTTGCACACAGCAGATGAACAGCAGAGAGAGGAGCTGCCCAGTTTTGAGATAAGGATGAGAGAACCAGAAGGAAGGGGGCAGTTGGGCGATACGTCAATCGAGAGTGTAGAGGAAGCCCCTCAGACTCATCGGTCTGAACATATCAGAGAACAAAGGAGACAGAGATGGGCAAGAATTTCGTGCTCCTTGCTGAGGAAGTCTCAAGGATGATTCAGAGTAAGCAACTGTTCTCATTGCTGAGGGTTGCCTGCTTGTGTTGGCAACATGGTGCTGCAATAAAAAGGACTATAAAACTATCAACGGCTCGCTAATTCTTATCAGTGAGCTACTGAAGGGGAAGAGGGACATCTTTAATTATTCCTTACTTCAATTCTTTTAGCCACAAGTTCTACATAGAAGAAGAAGAAGAAGAAGAAGAAGAAGAAGAAGAAGAAGAAGAGTTTGGATTTGATATCCCACCTTTCACTCCCTTTTTAAGGAGTCTCAAAGAGGCTAACATTCTCCTTTCCCTTCCTCCCCCACAACAAACACTCTGTGAGGTGAGTGGGGCTGAGAGACTTCAGAGAAGTGTGACTAGCCCAAGGTCACCCAGCAGCTGCATGTGGAGGAGCAGAGACGCGAACCCGGTTCCCCAGATTACAAGTCTACCGCTCTTAACCACTACACCACACTGGCTCATCAATACATCAATCCTACTCATGAAATTAATTGTTTACAATAATTTTTCAAATAAACTATATGCTTCACCCATTCTTTATTAAAGGTTACCTCTTCCTGGTTTCTAACTGTTCCCGTGAGCTTTGCCATTTTGGCATAGTCAATTAATTTTATCTGCCATTCTTCCTTGATCGGGACTGTATCTTCTTTCCATGTGTGCAGCTATGGTCACGCACATAAAGATTTTTTTTCTGATCCATCGGGTTCTCCGCACCAATTATTCCTAAAAGAAAAGTTTCTGCTTCCTTAAAAGAAATAAAATCTTCAACAGTTTTTTTCAACTCATTATAAAACATTTCCCATTACCACTTTACACATCCACCACATATGATAAAAGACACCCTCTTTCTCCTTACGTTTCCAGTAAACGTTTGATTTCGATTTATACATTTTAGCTAATTTACTAGGGGTTAAATGTCATTGATACATCATTTTTGTACAGTTCCCGCCCCCCAAAGTATAGCATGCTGTACATTTTAAATCCGCAGTCTATTACCTCTGCCATGCAGCCATATTATAACCAGTCTCTTGCCCAGTGTATCATCACTGATTTACCTCCTCATCTTCTGTTTGCCATTCCAATAATAGTTTATACATTTTGGGAAATTTTATTTTCTAGCAACTCTTTTTCAAACTGGGACGTTTTATTAAAAAAAACCTGTTCTTTTTATCCAACTTAAATACTTCATTAAGCTGATGATACTGCAATCAACGACCAGTATCTTCCCAGCGGCAGAGCAAGCTGATTGGGCGCTTGGGGCGGCCAGGAGCGGGGCCAGCTGCCCATCGGGCAGGGCGAGCCAGGGCAGGACGCTCCGTGGGGCCTCCAAGGAGTCTGCCTGCCTTCTCCCACTCAGCCGCCCTACATTTTTGGGGGGGAGCAGCGGGCGGACCCAGGAGAGACATGTTGCTCGGGCACGCTGCAGGCCCCGTGGTGAGCGCCACCCAGTATTTTGTCAGCCCCCTCAGTGGTGACACCTGGGGCAACCTGCCCCCACCACACACCCCTTCCTCTGCCCCTGTATCTTCCCATCACTTTCCTAACCACAGGTATTGATGCAGCCTGGGCATTGGTAGATTGGCATCCATGCTGTAGAGTCACAAAATTCCAATAAGAAGCAAACAAATGGCAGCTGGTATGATTACAGTGACCTGTGTGTTTGAGTATGCTTTAAAATAGATGGGCTGTTTAAGGAACTCATAGGGACACGGGTGGTGCAGTGGGTTAAACCACAGAGCCTAGGACTTGCCGATCAGAAGGCCGGCGGTTTGAATCCCTGCGATGGGGATGAGCTCCTGTTTGCTCAGTCCCTGCTCCTGCCAACCTAGCAGTTCGAAAGCACGTCAAAGTGCAAGTAGATAAATAGGTACCGCTCCAGCGGGAAGGTAAACGGTGTTTCCGTGTGCTTCTCTGGTTCGCCAGAAGCGGCTTAGTCATGCTGGCCACATGACCCGGAAGCTGTACGCCAGCTCCCTCGGTCAGTTAAGTGAGAAGAGCAGCACAACCCCAGAGTCGGCCACTACTGGACCTAATAGTCAGGGGTCCCTTTACCCTTTAAGGAACTCATACCCCTTAGCACAGCACTAGCATATTCAGATGGTTCTCCTTGTACTCAGCATCCAAGATCAAATGGCCTCCCTCAACTGACTAACCAGAAAACCAAGCTACCTGCCTTCTAGCATCAACCCCAGCTTTGATTCTATGTGACTCAACCAACCAAGAAATATGGAGGTGGACAGGGAACCCATTAAAAGGAATAAATATTCCCTTCACATAAGATAGTATCTGAGGTCTGGGACAATCTTTATAGCTTCCTGCTGATCCCTCCATAGCTTATTCGGATTTGTCTCAATGATCAGTACACCATGCCCCAAACAGCTTGAGGGAACTGCTACCACATCCCTGCTGTTTAAAACCACCAGAGCGTATTGCCTTTCATAAAAAGGCATTTATTTTTTCCCATAAAAGCTATATTCAGCCTGTTTCCTCAAACCAACTGATGTGTAGCTGACTAACGACTTATTGGCTGGAGGCCAGCTCTGTAGTTTCTCAGTTGCCAGCCTTTAAAAGCAGTCTCTTCGTTTTCAAAAAAGCTTTCCAATGGGGCAAGGCTTCTTTCTTGACAACCGAGGCCCACGAATGGCTCAGGCTTGGCTGCTTGCATTCTGTGTTTTACTTTGCCTCAAGTCTGGAGGTAAGTCTCCGCATTACTGAGAGCCAGTGTGGTGTAGTGGTTAAGAGCGGTAGACTTGTAATCTGGTGAACCGGGTTCGCGTCTCCGCTCCTCCACATGCAGCTGCTGGGTGACCTTGGGCCAGTCACACTTCTCTGAAGTCTCTCAGCCCCACTCACCTCACAGAGTGTTTGTTGTGGGGGAGGAAGGGAAAGGAGAATGTTAGCCGCTTTGAGACTCCTTTGGGTAGTGATAAAGTGGGATATCAAATCCAAACTCTTCTTCTACTACCTCAGGATGGTTAAAACAAAAAGCAGTCCCCTAGTTATTGTATGTTATTCCTCCACCTCACTTCCTAAAATGGAGAAATCTCCAAATGGGCTTTGCAGCATTGGTGTCAGTACTCGGCATGTTTGGGTAAATGTTGCGCTTGTGTCAGAGCTCAGTTCTGCGGACAGCAGTGTGTCCTCTTTTTCTTTTTAAATCTCTTGTCCACCATCAAGGAGAGGAACACAACCCTCCACAGGACCAAGCCACAAATATGCCTACAATTTCAATATCAAAATCCATACAAGTTTAGACCAATTTTCAAAGGGGAAAAAAATCCTTCCTCTTACTGTTAGCTTTCGGTGCCAATAGGATTTGGGGAGCTTAAGACAATAAATATTGATGCATCCCTACTTAAATTAGGACGGGTGTTGCTGAGGTCTCACTGGTACTATGTGTTGCGGCACAGACAGCTGCCCATTAGGAAGGAAAATTTTTTAAAAGGCAGGAAGTGAAAGGAGACCCAGGACCTCTGCAAAACACCGAGAGCTTGGAGCCCCGGGTTTAACCTAGAATCAGGGGTCCGCAAACTTTTTCAGCAGGGGGCCGGTCCACTGTCCCTCAGACCTCATGGGGAGCCGGACTATATTTTGAAAAAAATAATAATGAACGAACTCCTATGCCCCACAAATAACCCAGAGATGCATTTTAAATAAAAGCACACATTCTACTCATGTAAAAACAAGCTGATTCCTGACCGTCCACGGGCGGGATTTAGAAGGCGAATGGGCCTTAGTTTGCCTATCCATGAGTCCTAGAACAAAGCTCCTGATTTGGTGAGTTGTAAAGTAATGTTTTCAGGAACAAACAATAAAATCAAAACCTCCTCTCTTTTGCAGTAGATGCTGTAAAGTGCAAAAAATGCAGTTCATTTGCTCCAGGCCCAATATGCAGTGAGGGTTTTGAGGAATGTGAAGGAGAATTCTGCAGCTTGATGAAACTGTACAGTGGTAAGGAGACTTTCCTCTTTAAATTCTTCGTTTGTGTGACTAGGGGGGCGCAGGGCACCTGTCTTCTCAGTGGTCATAAGGAGCCCTGCTAGATCCGACCAAAGGTCCATCTAGTTCAGCATTCTGTTTCCAAGTGGTCAAAAGAACCACACATAGCCTTCATAGCTATGAAGGACTTGCTGACAAATTTATTGACAGCTGAACAAATTATGATAGCTAGGAAGTGGAAGGGGCAAGCAGAATACAAAATGGAAGAATGGTATAAAGAGGTGTGGGATATAGCTATGAATGATAAATTAACATGTGCCTTTAAGGTAAGATGGGGAATATGCAGGAGAAATGGTTTCGAGAAGATATGGAGCATGTTTGTAGAATTCGTACTGTTAAAACGAAAAGGGGTCAAACCATCGCAAGAGGTGTTGAAATTTTGGGAGGTTTGATAGTTACAATGGAATGGTCTTGGTGGTGGGGTGCACATTTTAAGTCTTATTTATTTATGATTATTACTTTGTCATAATAATAATGAAGAAGAAGAAGAAGAACCACACAATCATGGAACTTTAGAAATAGAAGGGATCCCAAGTGTTATCTAGTTTAGGGTTGCTACTTTTTAAAAAGTGAAAATCAGGACATCAAAGTAAGTTTTGGAACTTTTGTAAAAGAGATTTGCCAAAATAAACTGGAGTTTCCATACGTCTGGATTTTCCCAGACATTTTAGAAATTACTGAAAATCCCCCCCCGATGCAATTTCCGAGGGCCAGATCCCAGATATGTCTGGGTAAACCTGGACTTTTGGCATCCCTAATCCAGTTCAATAGGGCAGTAGGTGGCACTGTGGTCTAAACCACTGTGCTGCTTGGACTTGCTGATCAGAAGGTCAGTGGTTTGAATCCCCACAACGGGGTGAGTCCCTTTGCTCAGTCCCAGCTTCTGCTACCTAGCAGTTCGAAAGCATGCCAGTGCAAGTAGATAAATAGGTACCGCTCTGACGGGAAGGTAAACGGCGTTTCCGTACGCTGCTCTGGTTTCGGTGTTCCATTGCACCAGAAACAGCTTAGTCATGCTGGCCACATGACCCGGAAAAACTGTCTGCGGACAAATGCCAGCTCCCTCGGCCTGTAAAGCAAGATGAGGGCTGCAACCCCAGAGTTGTCTGCTACTGGACTTAACTGTCAGGGGTCCTTTACCTTTACCTTTTTTAATCTAGTTCAAGCTCTTTTTATTGCTTAGTTTGAATCTCCTTTCTTATAATTTGAACCCACTGATATGGGGTCTACCATCTGGAGCAGCAGGAAAAAACACCATGTGACAGTCCTTCAGATAGTTGAAGATGATTATCACATCGCATCTCAGTCTTTTCTCCTCCAGGCTAAACATACCCAACTCCCTCAACTGTTCCTCATAAGGCTGAGGTGCACTATTCTGCAGCATAGTATCAGGAGCGCTGCCCTGGCTGCCATAGTCCCTGCTTCCCAGGGATACCAGAGCCTCCATGCTTGCGTGGTTCCACTAGCTTTGGAAATAATGGGGTCCTTGCCAGATTCTGTGCTTCTTGGAAGAAATGAGATCAGTAGCAAGAGGCCACAAAGGGTCCACAGGAGGCCCTGCTTCTGTGCCTTGAAAGCAGCTAGTGGACAGACAGATATTTTAAAATAGTTACTTAAGCAGATGACATGTTAGACAGGGATTGAAAAGGAAGCTTTTCATTCCAAGGAACAAATGGATATGTCAATTGAACATGGACCTCTTTTGCAGTAAGGGCTTCCAGACTTAGGAAAATGAATTTGGGATCCATTTTAGATCATTGTGGTAGAGATTCTGAGATTTAAGATTATAGATTTATTCTGGCATGTATCTCTCCCATCCTTTAACTTCATTTTATTTTAATGTTGATTCCCCCCCCCCCCCACTTTTTTTAAAGCAAATTAAAAATCAAAATTCTGTTCGAGGTATTTTACTTGGATGTGTAGTAAACCTTTGTGCTTTTTGGTATGTTCTCCTTTCTCTTGTTATGGTCTATGGATTAGGCTAATAAAATCACATTCATTCAAATGCAAATGCTTTCCTTTCTCTCTCCAGTCAAAACCGGTGAATTACAAATAGTCCACAAATCCTGTCCCCCTGAATCCTTCAGAAAGTACTGTGGAAAGGTTTGGACGCGCCACAATCACGCTAGAAAGAAAGTACACTGCTGTTTTACTGACTTTTGCATTGAGTGATTTTAATATTGTATTCTTAAATTGGTTGTGGTTGTAATAGTTATGCTGTTAGGTGTAAATCTCACAAAGACATTGTATTAAAAGAGTTCATGCTCTTGCTCCATCATGGAAGCCAGGAAGCCCTGCTTTAATTGGACAAACCTCAGAAAAGGATATAGAATATATTAGCCTGATTTTTATTTTTATTTTTTTAAAAAACCATTATCCAAGTCAAAATTTCCATCTATGTTCTCAAGCTAAGACGCCTAATTTTGCTAGCTTTCTGTCATTGTTTCCAAGGTTCTCCCTTCCCCACTGTTATCTAGTACAACGCTAAAACCTTTGAACAGTTCTGATGTTAAGGCAATTTGCCAATTTGTCTTCTTCAGGAGTAAGCTGCATTGAATTCAGCGAAGCTTACTTCTGAGTACACATGCTCGGGATTTTGCAGTTGCGAGATATTGTAGACAGATTCCTCAGTCTTTCTCAACCATTTGATTTAAATATGTGCCCAAGAATAAGCTGTGCTGAATTCAACTGAGTTTGATGATGAGTGGCTAGGCTGGGGATTTTGCCGATGCAAGGATTTAAAGAAAGATTTCTCACTCCAACCAAGCCATGGTATTAAACACCCAGAAAAGCAAAAGCAAAAACAAAACCCACCCCTGCCCACAATATGTCTGTACAGGGATCTGAGCTGGCGTGACGAACACTGCAAGTGCTAAACAAACACAGAAAAGTAACAAGCCCCATCCATAGACTGTGATTTTTTTCCATTGGGCACAACAGGTATCTCCCCTAACTTGGAAGCATTCTAATGATTGGTCAGTCCTTAACTGTGTTGTTAGAACCTCCCATCCCACACTCGCAGTCAAGGGGGTCAGGTAGGGGGCTGGACCCAGACTCTCCTGGGTTTTGTCCATTGGATTCTGAATTGCCATCTCCCCTGAGTCCACTGAACCCTGTCCCCCTGACGCCCGGTTTGGTTAGAGAGCTGGAATATATTTTATTTTCTCTTTCCTTAATACTGCCATGTAACTGTAATGTAGCAAAGTTTAAACTATTTTGACTGGTGGGAGGTGGCTATTTGAAATATAATAGATAACTAGCAAAACATTGCTAGTTTTGCATGCAGTGCAACAATACAAGCTTTCAAACACTTATTTTATCTGAAGCTTCAGTGTTTTGTTTTGATGGAGTTAAATTTAATTTGTAATCCATATTCCATTTTGTTTCCTGCGTAATCATTGTGACTGGAATTTCCCCTCGAGAATGCTGTTCCTTATCTTTTCCCTTCCTCAAGATTCATGAATGTACAATACGTTTTCATTTCCTATGAGATTGTGATGACTATGTCTTTCATAAACTGAAAAGCGTTCTGTTAATGTAGGTGCAATAGATGTTTTAAAAATGGATTTCAGTCTCTGGTCAGTCTCACCCCCTGGTCATATCTGCTCGCTGCCCTCTCACCTTTGGGGTGCTTCCATACAGTGTGCATGGGGGCTGATTTAAGTCTCTGAACGAAGCAGGCTGAGTGAAAAAATAAAAAGGGAAAAACTCATTGTGTGAGTATTTTTAAATTAAACAAAGTCCTGGACTTAGAGGGGTGGCTGGGGATAAATAAACTTCTACTAATAATGAAACACCCAGAAAAGCAGGGGCTGTGTGGTATATTTCCTACCAGTTCTCTTCAATTATTACTTTGAAATCAGTGTAGGAGGCAGACTCTATACGTGAACTGGAAGATTCACAGTGGCTTAAGATCTGGTCCACGTATACCTTTAGGTCCAGGTCTGCTGACAGAGTCATGGGAACAAATAGAACAAAACTCATTTCACCCCTCTCCGTAAGGCAGACCAGAAATTGTGCACGGTGGCAAAGGAAACCCACTGCCCATCAGTATGAACTGTCGCACAGTGGTAAATTAATGAACACAGAGTCTTCTTCATAAAGAGAATAAAACTTTTACTTGAGAAAATAAAGTTGTTCATAAACAGCATAGTTAAAGAGCATCCACAGAGTGCTCAGCTATCTGACTCCTCACAGAGGTAGTTACAGGTAGGTAGCCGGGTTGGTCTGCCATAGTCGAAAGAAAATAAAAAAAAATCCTCCCAGTAGCACCTTAGAGACCAACTAAGTTTGTTATTGGTATGAGATATCTGAAGGTATGTGAAGAAGTGTGCATGCACATGAAAGCTCATACCAATAACAAACTTAGTTGGTCTTTTGAATTCTGGTGTTGGAGGAGACTCTTGAGAGTCCCATGGACTGCAAGAAGATCAAACCTCTCCATTCTGAGGGAAATCAGCCCTGAGTGCTCACTGGAAGGACAGATCCTGAAGCTGAGGCTCCAATACTTTGGCCACCTCATGAGAAGAGAAGACTCCCTGGAAAAGACCCTGATGTTGGGAAAGATGGAGGGCACAAGGAGAAGGGGGCGACAGAGGACAAGATGGTTGGACAGTGTTCTCGAAGCTACCAGCATGAGTTTGACCAAACTGTGGGAGGCAGTGGAAGACAGGAGTGTCTGGTGTGCTCTGGTCCATGGGGTCACGAAGAGTCGGACACGACTAAACAACAACAACGATGCTACTGGAAGGAATTTTTTTATTTTGTTTCTTCACACAGGCACAGTCTTACTAGAGTCCTGGAGCCACTCTGTCAGCAGCAATACAACACTGGCACACACACACACACAGACACTGGGGCCCACAGAGAGGCTGCCTACTTTTATGGGGAGAGTGAGTCATCACTCAAGATGAGTCACGAGTCACAGTGACTTAGCAGTTTGCTGTTAACAGTTAGCAGGCTTGAATGATTGTGTAGGCCTTGTAGGCCTCACTGCTTCTGCTCTCAAGAACCTTTGTCTCGTGACATGAACAAGGTGCAGAGGCTGCCTTCTGCCGTGTCAGACCGTCAGTCCATGTAGCTTAGGATTCTTTGTGCTGCATGTGGGGAAACTGTGGTTCTCTGGATGTTGCTGAGCTACAACTCCCATCATCCTTTGCTATTGGCCACGTTTGCTGGGGTTGGTGTGAGTTTGGCAACCTTGAGAGGGGGAGGGGTTCCCAAAATCTGGTGCGGACAGCCTTAAGCTACATGGACTGATGTGGTATAAGGCAGCTTCCTAGGCAGGGCAGTAGCTCCTAAACTCCATACTGGAAAGCACTATCATGCCACAAGAATGTGTGTGCCGTGAGAAATAAATTTAAAGTCACCGGTGAGCCAAAAGCACCTATTTACAGAGAAGGCTGTTTTTGTTTTAACAATTTCTTTTGTGCTTTTATCCTGTATTTTTATCTTGTGAACTGCCTTGAGATTTTTGGATGAAGGGTGGAAAATAAATTTAATAAAATAAAGAAAAATATGTTCATCACGCTGGAATCAGTGCAATAATATAGATGTATAACTGAGACAATGTGTCAGTTGTTGTTTTTGTTAAGTTAAAACCCAGTTCCAGCAAGTAAAACTGTAAAACTTCTTTTGTGTGTGTGTGGTGAGAATTTATTTCTACACAAAAAGTCAGATTGGAAAGAGAACTTCCGCTGGCTATAGTAAGGTTAAAAAAAGGTAAAGGACCCCTGGACGGTTAAGTCCAGTCAAAGGCGACTATGGGGTTGTGGCACTCATCTCGCTTTCAGGCCGAGGGAGCCAGCATTTGTCCACAGACAGCTTTCTGGGTCATGTGGCCAGCATGACTAAACCACTTCTGGCGCAACAGGACACCGTGACGGAAACCAGAGCGCACAAAAACACTGTTTACCTTCCTGTCACAGCAGTACATATTTATCTACTTGCACTGGCATGCTTTTGAACAGCCTGGTGGGCAGAAACTGGGACAGAGCAACGGGAGCTCACTCCATTGCGCGGAATCGAACCGCCAACCTTCCAATCGGCAAGCCCAAGAGGCTCAGTGGTTTGGACCACAGCGCCACCTGCTCCCTTATTGGCTACATTAATAATCTGCATGGATAGCATTCCCTGGCAATGAAGATTAAGGTGTGGGCATACACTGACTAGTAGCACAGATAGTGACAACATGGCATTCCCTTAGATGTGCTAACACTGCACATTATGCGTCTATGTTTAAAGATGGCTGCCTTACAGTGGCTGCCTCACAGAATGCAGCTCGTTGCTGATGGAAGCATCCTCTGAGTAGATTAGAGTTGACTGTGCTTCAACGATGCCAAGAAATATAAGAGATTCGCCCTCCACTCCTTGGAGGTTTTTAAGCAGAGGTTGGATGGCCATCTGTCATGGGTGCTTTAGCTGAGATTCCTGCATTGCAGGAGGTTGGACTAGATGTTCCTTGGGTCCCTTCCAGCTCTACACTTCTACAGTTCCACAATTCCTGTGTTCAGCTTCCACTGGATTGAGGAGGATTTGTGAGTTTGGGAATATTCCCTGGTAATCCTCCTCCTGATCATTATAACACGCACTCAGCAATAAGCTGCTTTGAGACGAAGCGTTGCACCCTCGCTTCCTGGCACCTTGGCATCACTTTATTCTCTAAAGGACACCCATGTCCTCTACAGAAAGCAAGCTGAAAATGCACTGGGCAGAAATGCCCTCGCAGTGTTTCAAGCCATGAATGTGAACATATCCTCGCGGAAGAATTGACATTCATTTCGAGAAAGTCAGGCGCTACACTTGGGAAGAATGAGAGGTCAACCTACCGTTCAACACAGACATCAGTTGTCTCTGATGGGGACTCTGAATGTCTTCCCTCTAATACACACTCCTTCTGTCACCATCATGGGTCTTTTAGTAACACAAACAAATCCCTTTCTTCTCCTCAGGTATTAATACATTACCACGCCAGTGGATTGAACCATTCAATAGGCAACTCCGTGGAGTCACAAAACTTCAGGAATAAAACAAACAAACGGCATTAACTCTGTGACCTGTGTATTTGAGTGTGGTTTAAAACAGAGGGACTGTTAAAGGAATCAGATCAGTTATCACAACCCTAGCATATTAGGATGTTTCTCCAAGTCCTTGCAGTTAACATGCAAGAAGAAATAGCCTCACTCAGCCGACTAACCAGCCAACTTTCCATCTCTGCCCACTAATGGGCATCAACTCCAGCTTTGATCCTGTATGACTCCATCAACCAAGAAATATGGAGGTGGACAAAAAACCCACTGAAGGGAACAAGAACTCCTTCCTTGTATGATAGCATCAGGTGGCCTCTGAGGTCTAGGACATTCAGGACAGCCCATTTGGATTTTTGTGAGCAATCAATGCATTATATCCCAATCAGATCAAAGGAACCACTACCCACCCCTCTACTGCTCTTTGGAACCACCCCAGCATATTTCCAGAGGCGTCTTGTATCTTTCAAGCCCATCACTTCCAGGTGTCCTGAGAAGCCAAGGAGGTTATATAATTGCTGTGTTGAGCTTGGTTCGTCACACCTTACCAGAGGCTGAGCTGCTGCTGCTACTTACTCCAAGGAGGCCTGATCTGCCCTGCAACCCGGTGGTCTCTCAGCTGCCAGACTTCAGAACTTGCCTCCTCATACAAAAGGGGTATCAATGGGGCAGAGCTTCTTTCCTGATAATCGGGGCCTACGTGTGGCTCAGGTCTGCCTGCTTGCGTTCTGTATTTTGCTTTGCCTCAAGCCTGGAGGTAAGAAACCCCCTAACTCCTTTTTGAACTCTGTCACATGTTAGCTGTGTGCGTCGGTGGAGATTCAGCAGGGACAATTTCTGAAAGGCAAACGTAGTCCCTGCACTCAGAATGTTTGGGCAGCTGCTGGGGCTACATCAGAATCCAGTTCTGCTGAGAGCAGTATGCCCTCTTTTTCTTTTTAAATTTGTTGTACATTGTCAGGGAGAGGAGCACAACCCACCACCATCTTTTTGATCTCCTCAGTGCCTTCTTGAGATAGTCATTCCCAAAAGCAGAGGTTCCCTGGCTTTTTGGGTCCACGGCTCCCTTGACCAACTACATTCTTTCTTGGCTCCCCTGTGAGGAAATGGGCTCCAAGCCTCAGGAGCCTAGTTATGCCACCCCTTGGCTGCAGAGCCCACAGCCCTTCACCCCTTTTTGAAGACGCTCCCTTGTGGAGTGTTCCTGCAGCCTCCTCTCTTCTCCCCTCTCCTTGTGAGTCCTCCGGGCAGCCGCCCCCCATCACTGGGCCACCCCTATCGCAAAGAGCGTTGCTTCCTCACTTGTCTGTCCATTCCCAACAGAAAGGATTAGTGGACTGGCTGGCTGGGCTCCCTCAGACACTTGCTTGCTTACTCTGAGGCCACCTCAGCTCCTGTCAACCAGCACCCCATGGTCAGCCCCAGAGGCACCATATGCCTTGGGAGCTTGTAGCCAGGGCTGCTACAACATATAGCCTTTGGGAGGCAGAGATTCAAGAGGGCATCAGAAGAGGGAGGGAAGGAAAGAGGGATGGAGGCTAGTGTTGCCCACAGCTCGCCCCCCAACCATCATTCAAGGCACCCCAAAGGTGCCATGACACACTGGTTGAAAACCACTGAACTAGAGTGACTCCACATTGGAGGGAGTTTTGGTGTCAGACTCTTTCAGCAGCTGGATGGATGTCACTTTGGGGTGGGAGAGCAAAGATGCCTCCTACCATGGGCCCCTAAGAGAAGTGTTAGAGCCCGTGTCTTCCATGAAGAAAACCCCAGGTTACCCCCCCCCCACCAGGCATCTTGAGACTCTGGGGACAAAACTGTGGGAAATGGAGAGAGCTTGACTTGGTGTTAGAGAGCTCCCTATGTTTGAGGAGGTGAGTCATTCTGTCCTCTCATGATATAAGAATTTTTTTCATTTGTGTGTGAAGATATAGGCTTGTATCCAATGTATCTTAATCAATATTATTAAGAGGGGAGGGCCTGGGGTTTCACCAGCACTATGCTTTGCAGTGCAGCAGCTTCCCATTAGGAAAGAAAACCGTTAAAAAGGGGGGGTGGTAGGATTAGCAGGGCCTGTGTGCAAGACCCAAGATTTGCAGCCCTTGGCCCATCCCTTAACAAAGCCCCTGATTGAATGAGCTTTACAGTAAGGACAGTGTTTGCACGGATAAATGTCTGTCTTTTGCAGTGGATGCTATCGAATGCAGATCATGCATTTCAAATAATCCGGACGAACCATGTGAACCGAGTGATAGGAAGTGTACCGGAGTCATTTGTGTATTGGGAGAAATATTTTCAGGTAATGAGTCTGTCCCAGCTATAGTCCTCCTTTGTGTATGCTGGACTAGGATGACTGGAAGTAGAGGAGGGTCACGGACTCCTGACTTTTCAGTGGTGGTAAGCGCTCAAGAGGAGCCCCGTTGGATCAGACCAGAAGATCCGTCAAAGATGTGGAGTAAACTTTGTCCTTTTAAATGTATTCTCTTTTGCTATGGGAAAATTCAGTCACATTCTCTCCATACTTGTTATTAACACAAATACTTCTCTTTCTCTCTCCAAAAGAAAATGGAGACAAGGTTCAATACTTCAAAGAATGTGGCAGTGAAGAATCAAAGGAGCTTTGTGGAAAGGAATACACATTGGAAAAAAGAGAGAAAATAACATGCTGCGAAACTGACTTATGTAATGCATGATTTTCCTATTGTTTTCCTAGATTGTTCCAATCTGTCCAGCACCCTCATGCCACCACAATTCAAATAACAGACAAAAGCCCTCTGCAGACTTTCTGATGCAGACCTACTGGGGGGAGCCAAACCCACAGTCTCCACCCCAATCATCCTCACCTCCCTCCACAAATTGGAGCCTGGCTGTGTGATGTGGGCAGTCTTCTGTATTTGTGGAGGGTTCCCACCAGTGCTTTTCTTCAGCATGCCAGAGTGCAGTTCCAGCACCTCTCAGGTGGGCGCCATTTTGGTCCCACTTCTTCCCTTCATGTACCCAAAACAAAGCCCAAAGCAAACATTTCAAGTCAAAACAGAAGCTGGTCAGTGTGTGAGAGTCCACACCGCTTTTTTCTTGTTTACATCTATGACTCCACCTAGCTCTTAGCTGTAATTGGTCAACCTATGGGGTGAGGCCAATTCGTATTTCCTTTGCTTCAACCCATTTCCCATGTAGACAGGCTTGAAGCTTTCCAGTCAGGCCTCTACTGTTGCATGTGTGTGCCTTTGTGCAACAGCCCTTCCAAGCTGCCCTAGCCATCACCTAAGTCTAAGAGGAGGTGAGGATGCATTTAATTGACTTGCACCAGAACCAGGGGCACTAGCATCTATTCAGGGCTGCCCCAAGTCGCCCAGCAACTTGCTGTAACAACTTCTTGGTGAGTTCCGGCATCTGTTTTCAGCACTGGTTCCCACACATTTTTGACAGTGATTTCCCAGAGTCCAAAATGCATGGGGAGCCTCCATGAGGACAGGAGATTTCTCCCCCTTGCTTGGCATCAGAACAACTGGCTAAGCATTGTTGTGAATCAAATGCTCATCAGTTCAACTGCTTTGCTCCTCCTCTGTGCACTCGTGTGTGTGTCTTCATTTATGTATGCTTTCATTGTTTTATTATTAGGAAAATAATGTCCCCTAAGTGCATAATTGTCTGGGGGACTGGGGTGGGTTGTGGCGTACTGTGATTATTAATATTACACATATGGAAGCAATAGGATGAATAAAATCTGACTCTTCTGGAAATAAAAAGTGTCCAGTCTAAAATTATGGTTCGAAAGCTTTACTAACAGAACTTGTTCCAAAACAGACACAGAATAATAATGTTACATCCAGAGAGTTGCATAAATTACCATGTGTTTATCCAAGCACAGGTAAAAGGTAAAGGTAAAGGTACCCCTGCCCGTATGGGCCAGTCATGTCCGACTCTAGGGTTGTGCGCCCATCTCACTTAAGAGGCCGGGGGCAGCGCTGTCCGGAGACACTTCCGGGTCACGTGGCCAGCGTGACGAAGCTGCTCTGGCGAGCCAGCACCAGCGCAGCACACGGAAACGCCGTTTACCTTCCCGCTATAAAGCGGTACCTATTTATCTACTTGCACTTAAGAGTGCTTTCGAACTGCTAGGTGGGCAGGAGCTGGGACCGAACGACGGGTGCTCACCCCACCACGGGGATTCGAACCGCCGACCATATGATCGGCAAGTCCTAGGCACTGAGGTTTTACCCACAGCGCCACCCGCGTCCCTAGCACAGGTACAGCATCTTATATGACATTAATTCATATAGAAGTGAAAACAAAGCTCTGCCTCTCCTGTAGCCTCCATTACAGCCTGAGGCTGTGTTTCTGGAGAGAATCATTGGCACACCTTTCTCCTTGGTGGCCTGAGAGAGGGAACAAAAGACCAACTCAGACATAATGGAGATTTGCAACTGTGGCACCTGATTGTATACACGTGAAAGCTGCATTGTTAGAGAAAGGAATTCAGGCAAGATCCTAGGGCAACTTCTGTCACTGAGTAGGCAATGTCCTGAAACCAGAACTCCCTGCTCCAGAGAGTGAACTAGTGTCCTTTGGGCTCCAAAAGTGCAGTAGTCTCACAAGTAGACAATCTCTTGAGTAGTTGTTGTCTTGCAAGGGACTTTCCTGCAGATTGCTCATACAGAGGGGCCACGTATGGAGGAGCACTTTCCAGAAAGGCAGCTCCCAGCTCTCAGCAGGTCCCCCCTCCCCGAAACATTAGTCCTGCTCCCCAAACCAATTTAGGACTAGTTCCAGGGAAGCCTGGCTGTTGCCAGAATGGCCCAGGGTGGATTGACCTGAGCTGAAACCTCCCCCCGCCCCATCATATATGTTAGGGTTTTCATATTTCAAAAAGTGAAAATCTGGACACTAAGTTGTTGAGCTGTTTCTTTTCTTTTCTTCTTTTTTCAAAATCTCCAAAAAAATGAAGCTTTTGAGGCATTGTTAAAGAAAATTACCCAAATAACAACACCTTCAGCATGAGTTGCCATACGTTTTCCAGGATATTTGAGCGATTTTTGGAAATTCCACCTGGACGAATCCAGGATATGTCTGGGGAAACCCAGGCGTACAGCAGCCCTAATATACGTGTACTATAACACATATACACATACATTTAAACCACAAACATATGCATTTAAACCATAAACACTCTAAAAAGAAATATACTGTCATGGTGAACAGAGCACGGCTTAGCACTCTCTTCCCTAAATGCACAATATACCTAGAGGTGCCAGATTCTCTGGAAAATTGAGGGGGCCCAACGCAGCAACCTTATATCGCGAGTGAGGTCCTCTGAATATTGAAGGGGCTCTGCCCTTTCAAAAAAAAAAAAAAGAAAAGAAAAAGAAAAAGAAAAGATTGGGGGTGGGGTGGGGTGGGGTGGGATAGAAACAGTTTTGGCCTCCAGAAGCCAGGGTGTTTTGAACACACCAGAAAGTTATTCATGTGTTGATGAAAAGTTGGTAACAGCAGAATGGGGTTTGTGTGTGTGTGTGTGTGTGTGTGTGTGTGTGTGTGTGTGTGATATTTCTAGTGGGAGAGAGTTCCTCAGCAGAGCACCACAGCGAAGTTCTACAGCCATAACTGACAATGAGCTATGTGAGGTGGCTGCATGATGTGCCACAGTCACAGGACCACAACAGGGCCTCTGCTGCAAATAGCAGCACATATTGGCAGGGGCAAGCATTCAAGTATTTGGGGCCCAGGAACCTACTTTATAGACCAAAGTCTGAATCCTGAACTGGGCCTGCTTGCATCCCAGTGCTGTTCTTTAAGGATTGGCGAGGTACATTCCCAAAGAGGAGGTGGCTGCATAATGTGCCAGTGGATTGAACCATTTTATACCCAACGCTGTGGAGCCACAAAACTTCATGGAGAAACATTAAAAAAGTAAGGAAGAGAAGGATAAAATTGAGCAATTTCTTGAGGCAAATGAAATGCAGAAAATTCCCGAGGATAAAAGGCTCCTACCAAATGGCATGATTACAAGACAGGAGGTCAAGATCGCAATAAATAAGATGCAGTTAGGCAAAGCCCCGGGACCAGATGGTCTTTCTGAAAAATACCATAAAATATTGAAAGATTGGTTAATTCAACCATTGGCAGATGTGTGCAATAAGATTCTAAGAGGGGACAAAGCTCCCGAAACCTGGAAAGATGCATTTATTACTCTGATTCCAAAAACAGATAGATCTGATGTGAAAAACTATAGTTTGACCAAACTGTGGGAGGCAGTGGAAGTCAGAAGTGCCTGGCGTGCTCTGGTCCATGGGGTCACGAAGAGTCGGACACGACTAAACGACTAAACAACAAACAACAACAACAAAACTATAGACCAATCTCATTACTTAATGTGGACTATAAAATTTTTGCAAATATTTTGGCCAACAGATTGAAAAAGGTTCTATCAGATTATATACATAAGGACCAGGCAGGATTTCTGCCTGGGAGACATATGAAAGATAACATTAGAAATATAATTGATATATTAGAAAGACTGGAAGCGAAAAGAAATTGTAAAGCAATGTTAATGTTTATTGATGCTGAAAAGGCCTTTGATAATATTTCTTGGTTATTTATGATGAAAAATTTAGAAAGAATTGAGGTTGGCCAGGAATTTCTAAATGGTATTAATGCAATCTATTTTGAGCAAAAAGCAAAAATCATAGTTAATAATGTGGTCTCAGAGGAAATCAGAATTGAGAAAGGAACCAGGCAAGGGTGACCGCTTTCCCCTCTGCTATTTATTTCTGTTCTGGAGGTTTTGTTAAATATGTTGAGGAAAGAGGAGGAGGTTAAAGGCATTGTAGTAGGATCCAAGCAATTTAAATTAAAGGCCTTTCCTGATGACTTGGTTTTAACTTTACAAGATCCAGAAACCAGTGCAGTAAAAGCACTGGAGCTGATTCAAGAGTTTGGGCAGGTAGCAAGATTTAAATTAAACAAGAGCAAAACCAAAGTTTTAGGGAAAAAATAGATAATGAGGAAAGAAAACCCTTTTTGAAAGGACAGGCCTTGTTTCTGTGAAAAAAGTTAAATATTTGGGTGTGAATTTATTGGTAAAGAATTTGAATCTGTATAAAGATAACTATGAAAAATTATGGAATGAAATCAAGAGAAATCTTGAGATATGGTCTAAATCTAAAACTTTCATTGATGGGCCGAATATCGGTGGTTAAGATGAACGTATTGCCGAAGATGTTGTTTTTATTTCAAGCTCTACCAATCATTGATAATGTTAAATGTTTTAAAGAATGGCAGAAGGCATTGTCTAAATTTATCTGGCAGGGGGAAAAACCTAGAATTAAATATAAATTACTTACAGATATAAAAGAAAGAGGGGGTTTTTCCCTACCAGACCTGAAGATATACTTTGAAGCTGCTGCCTTCTGCTGGATCAAGGATTGGATTCAATTAGAGAACGATGATGTGTTAGATTTGGAGGGACTGGATAATTGATTTGGATGGCATGCATATCTATGGTATGACAAGATAAAGGCCCACAGTGGCTTGAAGAATCATGTAATTAGAAAGGCGTTATACAATGTATGGACTAGATATAAAGATCTCTTAGTAAGAAAAACACCAAAATGGATTTCACCAATGAAAGTACAGGCCCCCCAAAAGTTAAATATGGAAAACAAATGGTTGAGGTACTCAGATTTGTTGTTAGAGGATCAGGAAGGTTTTAAATTAAAACCATTTGAACAAATTAAAGATAAAGTGAATTGGTTGCAATATTATCAAATTAATGAATTATATAAGATGGATAAGAGAAATGGTTTTGCAACAGAAAAAACCAAATTGGAAACGGAGTTGTTAGATACTAAAGTTAAGAATATGTCTAAAATGTATAATTTGTTGTTGGAGTGGTATACAAAGGATGAACAAGTTAAATCGGTTATGATTGATTGGGCAAGAGATATGGGACATAATATAATGATGGAGGATTGGCTATGGAAGAAAGGGGTTAAGTTCACTGCATGTATGATGTTAAAGGAAAATATTATGAAGATGATGTTAGGATGGTACTTGACCCCTGTAAAACTAGCAAAGATTTATCACAATAGTGATAACCTTTGTTGGAAATGTAAAGAAGAAGAAGGTACTTTTTTCCATATGTGGTGGACTTGTCCCAAGGTGAAAGACTTCTGGGAGAAGATTTATAATGAACTGAAAAAAATGTTGAAATATACATTTATTAAGAAACCAGAGGCCTTTCTTCTTGGAATAACAGGTTTGGAATTGCCCAAGAAAGATGTTAAATTATTTTTGTATGTCACAACGGCCGCCCAAATATTACTTGCTAAAAATTGGAAAACACAAGAACTACCAACAGTGGAAGATTGGCAGATGAAGATGATGGACTTTTCAGAGCTAGCTGACCAGAAAGAAGAGGAGTTTCAAGAGGACTGGAGGAAATTTAAGGACTATTTGAATAAATATTGTAATATAAAAAACTAGAAAATACTTGAAAGAAACAAATAGGCCTAGGATTAAACTAATTTATAATTAAATAAATGGGATTTAGAATATTAAGAAAAGTGAATAAGATGGACTATAATTGGAAATTGTTTTAGTTTAATAATGATATTGGAAAGCTGTTACTTTTAACTACAAGGAAACTCAGAAGGGAGGGACTAGAGGAAGTCAACCAAGATGTTTAAAAGGTTGGATTTGTAAAGAATTAAGTTTGTTGCTATTGTTTATCTGTTTATTGTTCCTTTTTTCTTCTTTCGTTCATTGATGTATTTTTCTTTTTTTCCTGTTTTTGTGTGTTATTCTGCTTTGTGGTTTTTGTTATAATTGTGGAAAATCTAATAATTTTTTTTAAAAAAGCTTCATGGAGAAACAAACAAATGGCATTAACTCTGTGACCTGTGTATTTGAATGTAGTTTAAAAACAGAGGGACTGTTAAAGGAATCAGATCAGTTATCACAACTCTAGAATATTAGGATGCTTCTCCTAGTCCTTTCAGTCAACATGCAAGATGAAATAGCCTCACTCAGCTGACTAACCAACCAACTTTCCATCTCTGCCCACTAATGGGCATCAACTCCAGCTTTGATCCTGTGTGACTCCATCAACGAAGAAATATGGAGGTGGACAAAAAACCCACTGAAAGGAACAAGAACTCCTTCCTTGTATGATAGCATCAGGTGGCCTCTGAGGTCTGGGACATTTGGTACAGCATTCAGCCGAATCATCAGCCCATGTGGATTGTTCTAAACCATTAGTGCATAATGTTCCAAACAGACCAGGGGAGCATACTTCCAGAGGCGGCTTGTATCTTTCAAGGTGTCCAGAGGCGGCTTGTATCACTTCCAGGTGTCCTGAGAAGCCAAGGAGATTTCTTCTGACCTTACATAATTGCTGTGTTGAGCTTGGTGCGTCACACTTTACCAGAAGCTGAGCTGCTGGTGCTACTTACTCCAAGCAGGCCTGATCTGCCCAGCAACCTGGTGGTCTCTCATCTGCCAGACTTCAGAACTTGCTTCCTCATACAAAAGGGGTATCAATGGGGCAGAGCTTCTTTCCTGATAATCGGGTCCTACGTGTGGCTCAGGTCTGCCTGCTTGCGTTCTGTATCTTCCTTTGCCTCAAGCCTGGAGGTAAGAAACCCCCCAACTCCTTTTTGAGCTCTGTCACATGTTAGCTGTGTGTGTCGGTGGAGATTCAGCAGGGACAATTTCTGAAAGGCGAGCGTGGTCCCTGCACTCAGAATGTTTGGGCAGCTGCTGAGGCTACATGAGAATCCAGTTCTGCTGAGAGCAGTATGCCCTCTTTTTCAATTTAAATCTCTTGTTCATCGCCAGGGAGAGGAGCACAACCCACCACCATCCTTTTGATCTCCTCAGTGCCTTCTTGAGATAGTCTTTCCCCAAAGCAGACGTTTCCAAGCTTTCTGGGTCCACGGCTCTCTTGACCAACTACATTCTTTCTGTGGTTGCCCTGTGAGGCAATGGGCTCCAAGCCCCAGAATCCTAGTTATGTTACCCCTTGGCTGCAGACCCCACAGCCCTTCACCCCTTTTTTGAAGACCCTCCCTTGTGGAGTGTTCCTGCAGCCTCCTCTCCACTCCCCTCTCCTTGTGAGTCCTCCGGGCAGCTACCCCCCATCACTGGGCCACCCCTATCCCAAAGAGTGTTGCCTCCTCACTTGTCTGTCCAATAGAAAGGACTAGTGGACTGGCTGGCTGGGCTCCCTCACCCACTTGCTTGCTTACTCTGAGGCTGCCTCAGCTCCTAGCAACCAGCACCCCATGGTCAGCCCCAGAGGCACCATACACCTGGGGAGCTTGTAGCCAGGGCTGCTGCAACAAACAGCTGCACAAGCCTTTGGGAAGCAGAGGGATGAAACCGGGAAGGAAAGAGGGATGGAGGCTAGTGTTGCCCACAGCACCCCTGACCATCATTCAAGGCACCCCACGGTCCCATGACACACTAGTTGAAAACTAGAGTGACTCCACATTGGAGGGAGCTTCTGGTGTCAGGCTCTTTCAGCAGAAGAATGGATGTCACTTTTGGGTGGGTGAGCAAAGATGCCTCTTACCATGGGGTCCCTAAGAGAAGTGTTAGAGCCCGTGTCTTCCATGCAGAAAACCCCAGGTTAACACCCCCCCCCGGGCATCTCCAGTAAAAGGGTTCAGGGAGAAGAAGATGATGCATCCTAAGACAAAACTGGGGGAAATGGAGAGAGAGCTTGACTTTGTGTACGTTCGGCTGAGGTGAGTCAGGCTGCCTGCTCATGATACAATAAAATTTTTCATATGTGTGTGTGTGAAGTGTGTGTGAAGGCTTGTATCCAATGTATCTTAATTCATCTAATTAAGAGGGAAATGCCTAGGGTTTCACCAGCACTATGCTTTGTAGTGCAGCAGCTGCCCATTAGGAAAGAAAACTGTTAAAAAGGGGAGAAGTGTTAGGGTTAGCAGGGCCTGTGTGCAAGACCCAAGATTTGCAGCCCTTTGCCCATCCCTTAACAAAGCCCCTTAACATTAGTTTTAAAGTAAGGACAGTGCTTGCAGGAACAAACAAACAAACAAACAAACAAACTTGTCTGTCTTTTACAGTGGATGCTGTCAGATGCAGAAAATGCTTTTCCAATCATCCTGACGAGCCATGCGAACTGAGCAATGGGAAGTGTAACGGGGACGTCTGTGTATTGGGAAAAATATTTTCAGGTAATGTGTCTGTCCCATTTATAGTCCTCCTTTATGTATGCTGGACTAGGATGACCGGATGTTTCAAACAGGTGGACTCAGTTGTGAAATCGTGGTGAGGAGTGGCTGGGGACTCATGGCTGTATCACTCCAAAGAAGCAGTTGTCTCAGGTGGGTCTGAGGACTGTACCACTTGCCCCCCTCCTCTTCTGCGGCCATGCCTCTTCCTTTGCCCTCGTACCTGTGCTCCCAGTGACATGCCCTGCCCACCCCACACCCTACTGACACCATTGGCGCATCAGAGAGGTGGTGGCAGAAGAGAAGGTAGGAGAGGTGGCACAGGGGTGAGATTGCCTCAAACAGCAAAACGTCCCGGGCCATCCCTGTACACAACTGCGAGGCAGAATTACTAAAAGATTTGCCTCATAAGGTCCTTGAATGTCAGCTTTGTTGTTATATAAAAGGGCATTATGCATAGGGACCTTACTTAAGAAGATGAAATAATGGAGAGTAGCAGGAAAAGTAAGGCTTGTTTGTTGTTGTTGAGTCGTGTCCAACTCTTTGTGACCCCATGGACCAGAGCATGCCAGGAACTCCTGTCTTCCACTGCCTCCCAGTTTGGTCAAACTCATGTTGGTAGCTTCGAGAACAATGTCCAACCATCTCATCCTCTGTTGTCCCCTTCTCCTTGTGCCCTCAATCTTTCCCAACATCACAGTCTTTTCCAGGGAGTCTTCTCTTCTCATGAGGTGGCCAAAGTATTGGAGCCTCAGCTTCACGATCTGTCCTTCCAGTGAGCACTCAGGGCTGATTTCCTTAAGAATGGATAGGTTTGATCTTCTTGCAGTCCATGGGACTCTCAAGAGTCTCCTCCAACATCAGAATTCAAAAGCATCAATTCTTCGGCGATCAGCCTTCTTTATGGTCCAGCTCTCACTTCCATACAGGGAACTAATTGGTATCTTATACTCTCAGGAAAAGGTACAGTGGTACCTCAGGTTACATACGCTTCAGGTTACAGACTCCGCTAACCCATAAATAGTACCTTGGGTTAATAACTTTGCTTCAGGATGAGAACAGAAATCGCGCGGCGGTGGCGGTGCGGCAGCAGCAGCGGGAGGCCCCATTAGCTAAAGTGGTGCTTCAGGTTAAGAACAATTTCAGGTTAAGAATGGACCTCCAGAACAAATTAAGTACGTAACCAGAGGTACCACTGTATTTGGAATCCTTCATAGACAATAAGGTTCTCCTGGTGCCTTTATTATACAGTGGTACCATGCTTCTCAAATTTAATCCGTTCCAGAAGTCCATTCCAAAATCAAAGTGTTCCAAAACCAAGGCGTGCTTTCCCATAGGAAGTAATGCAAAACAGATTAATCCATTCCAGACTTTTAAAAACAAACCCTAAAACAGCAATTTAACATGAATTTTACTAACGAGACCATTGATCCAAAAAATGAAAGCAATAATCAATGATCAATAATCAACAATCAACAATGACTATAAAATAAATAAGACAGTATTGTAAATGATAAAAATTAAAATTAATTCCTTTTCTTACCTGCACTGATGATAGTCATGGTTTGGATGGGGGGCTTTTATCCATTTCTGCAGGCACACAATCAATCAATCAGTAGCTGAACTGGGTTCCACACAGTCACAAAAACAAATTAACCGAAAAAGCCTCAAAAACAAAAACGCAAAATAAATAGCAAAAACAGAAGCGCCAAACTTAATGCATTCTGAAAGTCCGTTTAATTTCCGAAATGTTCAAAAAACAAGACACAGCTTCTGATTGGTGCAGGTGCCCTGGAAACATTAGCTGACAGTTGCATTGGATGTTCAGGTTCTGAAAAACATTTGAAAACTGGAACGCTTACTTCAGGGATTTTGGTGTTTGGGAACCAAGGCATTTGAGTACCAAGGTGTTTAAGAACCAAGGTACCACTGTACATCTATAGGCGACAGGCAATAACGTTCCTCTTTAACCAGTCCTTTGGTTGACTGAAATTCAATGCCCTTTTAAAATGTGGGGGTTTTTTTGGGTGGGGTTATTGGGTTGTTCTTGTTTTTATTTTAATTACGAATTTTGTGTTTTTATATTGTGATTTTATCATGTGAACTGCCTTGATACCTGCAGCTTCAGGGCAGTATAAAAATTTAATTTTTTTAAAAAAGGAAAAACAGTGGTGGAGATTATGATATTTAAGGGTTTGCTTTATTTGGATATGTACCTTGCACATGTTTTAACTTTAATTTAACATTGACATTTTAGCAGTTTTAGCAAAATCAATTCGAAATTCTGTTCCAGGTATACCCTTTGGAAGCGTTTAATACCAATTCCCCTCCCCCCAAATGATGTGGGGATCCTTTCAAATGTACTCTCTTTTGCTATGGACAAATTCAGTAACATTCTCTCCATACTTGTTATTAACACAAATTCTTCTCTTTCTCTCTCCAAAAGAAAATGGTGACTTGATGAAATACTACAAAGAATGTGGCGCTGGAGTATCGCTAGAGGACTGTGGAAAGGAATTGACAGCAGAAAACAGAGAGAAAATAACGTGCTGCGATACTGACTTCTGTAATGAATGATTTTCCTATTCTGTTCTTAGATTGTTTTGATCTATCCAGGGACCTAATGGCACCACAATTCAAACAACAGACCTTCTGATGCAGACCTACTGGGGGGAGCCAAACCCACAGTCTCCACCCCAATCATCCTCATCTCCCTCCACAAATTGGAGCCTGACTGTGTGATGTAGGCAGTCTTCTGTATTTGTGGAGGGTTCCCACCAGTGCTTTTCTTCAGCATGTCAGAGTGCAGTTCCAGCACCTCTCAGGTGGGCGCCATTTTGGTCCCACATCTTCCCTTCATGTACCCAAAACAAAGCCCAAAGCAAACATTTCAAGTCAAAACAGAAGCTGGCCAGTGTGTGAGAGTCTACACTGCTTTTTTTTTTTGTTTACATCTATGACTTTACCTAGCTCTTAACCGCTCGTAGCTGTAATTGATCAAACTATGGGGTGGGGCCAATTTGTATTTCCTTTTCTTCTTTTTTTATAAATATTTTTTTATTAAGAATTTAAACAAAACATATTGTCTTAATACATATCATCCTTGATCCCCCCCACCCCCCATAAAATAACCCCCTCCCTCCCCCCTGACTTCCCTCAGCTCCAGTCTCTGGTTTCTCTACAGATGCTATTCTCTGCATGTTACATAATTGTATAAGTCCTTAATTTATCTAACTGGTTATTGTCAATAAAAAAATTTGTGAGTGTTTATTCAAAACCTGCCAAGGAGTCCAGTTCACTTTGTTGTTTCTTTAAGTACTTTGTAAAAGGTTCCCATTTATCTTTAAAGTCACAGTTATCCTTATCCTGTAGTTTATGAGTCAATTTTGCCAGTTCTGCATAGTCCATCAGTTTCTCTTGCCATAGTTCTGTACAGTGGTACCTTGGGTTACATACGCTTCAGGTTACAGACGCTTCAGGTTACAGACTCCGCTAACCCAGAAATAGTGCTTCAGGTTAAGAACTTTGCTTCAGGATGAGAACAGAAATCATGCTCCAGCGGTGCGGCGGCAGCAGGAGGCCCCATTAGCTAAAGTGGTGCTTCAGGTTAAGAATAGCTTAAGGTTAAGTACGGACCTTCGGAACGAATTAAGTACTTAACCTGAGGTACCACTGTATTTCATTTTCTTTAATCCATTTCCCATGTAGTGGCGACAGGCTTGAAGCTTTCCAGCCAGGCCTCTACTGTTGCATGCATGTGCCTTTGTGCAAGGGCCCTTCCAAGCCGCCCTAGCCATCCGCCTGAATCTAAGAGAACACAGGAGGTGAGGATGCATTTAAGTGACTTGCACCAGAACCAGGGGCACCAGCATCTATTCAGGGCTGCCCCGAGTCGCCCGACGACTCGCTATAACAACTTCTTGGTGAGTTCTGGCATCTGTTTTCAGCACTGGTTCCCACACATTTTCGACCACTGATTTCCCAGAGTCCAAAATGCATGGGGAGCCTCCATGAGGACAGGAGATTTCTCCCCCTTGCTTGGCATCAGAACAACTGGCTAAGCATTGTTGTGAATCAAATGCTCATCAGTTCAACTGCTTTTCTCCTCCTCTGTGCACTCGTGTGTGTGTCCTCATTTATGTATGCTTTCATTGTTTTATTATTAGGAAAATAATGTCCCCTAAGTGCATAATTGTCTGGGGGACTGGGGTGGGTTGTGGCGTACTGCGATTATTAATATTACACATATGGAAGCAATAGGATGAATAAAATCCGACTCTTCTGGAAATAAAAATTGTCCAGTCTAAAATTATGGTTCAAAAGCTTTACTAACAGAACTTGTTCCAAAACAGACACTCAGAACAATAATGTTACATCCAGAGAGTTACCATATGTTTATCCAAGCACAGGTACAGCATCTTAGACATATGACATTAATTCATACAGAAGTGAGAACAAAGCTCATCCTCTGCCCTGGCCTCCATTACAGCCTGAGGCTGTGTTCCTGGAGAGAATCATTTTCACACCTTTCTCCTTGTTGGCCTGAGAGAGGAAACAAAAGACCGACTCAAACATAATGGAGATTTGCAACTGAGGTACCTGATCGTATACATGTGAAAGCTGCAATGTTAGAGAAAGGAATTCATGGAACATCCTAGGGCAGTGATGGTGAACCTTTTAGAGACAGAGTGCCCAAACGGCAACCCCAAACACATTTATTTATTTATCAGAAAGTGCCAACACAGCTATTTAACCTGTAAACCTGATTTTTTCTATGTGTTTCACATTTCTTCTTTATGACTACTGTTGTAATAAATAATCCTTCATAAAAGTTAATGTATTATATTCTTCATTAAATTATCTTTCCATTGATATATAATTTTATGGTATAACTCAGTGCTTTTTTCTTTCTTTCTAAAAAATGTTCATTTTGATTCAAGAAAATCTCCACTGGGGAAAAATAAATACAGTTCAAATCGGAGAAAATAAATACAATGAATTTCTTCTCCCATTAAATTCACAAAACGTTTAGGGGTATACGTTCCCCTGCAATCCTATAGAAAATAAGCACTGGTATTACTCCAAAACAAAGTGGTGTTATGAGCCATCAACACTCGGAAATACATTTTTTCAAGAAGGTTCCACAATTTTGGCCACTAGTGTACACTGGAGGGCTGTACTAAGAGCCACCCTCTCCCAATTTTTAATATGAGATGATAATAATAATTGCGTGTGCACATACAAATAAGTATAAATAATTAAATAAAACTAGCCAGATGGGCAGGGTATAAATAATGTTGTTGTTGTTGTTATTATTATTATTATTATTATTATTATTATTGCCATTTCTTCAGCTGCTGTTTGATCGCAACCTCCACGGAATAAATTTCTCTGTTGGCTTTCACGGGAAAGCCCAGCGAATGTGTAAACCCAGCAGCCCCTTCTTAGGGGTCTTTATCTGCTTACTGACCTGGGAGTTAAGCCCTGCCAAACTCAAAGCAGCTTACCCCGAGTAGAAAAAACAGACCGGCGGGAGGCCCTGGTGCATCAAAAGTCAATGCCTGCTCAGCCCCTCGCTTGCTCGCCAGGCCCTGGTGCTGCAGGATTTGGACGGCGCAAGCCCTCCCCTCCTCCTCCTCCACCCCTGCCAGGGAAGCTAAGGCACCAGGGCTGCAGCTAAGGCACCAGGGCTGCAGGCTTTAGACAGTTATTCATGTGGTGATGAAATGTTGGTTACAGCAGAACGGGGTGTGTGTGGGTGTGTGGGTGTCATATTTCTAGTGGGAGAGAGTTCCTCAGCAGAGCCCCACAGCGAAGTTTTACAGCCACAGCTGACAATGAGCTATGTGAGGAGGCTGCATGATGTGCCAGTAGATTGAACCATTTTATACCCAATGTTGCAGAGCCACAAAACTTCACGAAAAACAAACAAATGGTATTAACTCTATGACCTGTGTTTTTGAATGTAGTTTAAAAATAGATGGACTGTTAAAGGAATCAGATCAGTTATCACAACCCTAGCATATTAGGATGTTACTCCAAGTCCTTGAAGTCAACACGCAAGATGAAATAGCCTCACTCAGCTGACTAACCAGCCAACTTTCCATCTCTCCCCACTAATGGGCATCAACTGCAGCTTTGATCCTGTGTGACTCCATCAACCAAGAAATATGGAGGTGGACAAAAAACCCCACTAAAAGGAACAAGAACTCCTTCCTTGTATGATAGTATCAGGTGGCCTCTGAGGTCTGGGACATTTGGTACAGCATTCAGCCGAATCATCAGCCCATGTAGATTGTTCTAAACCATTAGTGCATTATGTTCCAAACCGATCAGGGGAGCATATTTCCCGATGCTTCTTGTATCTTTCAAGCTCAACACTGCCAGGTATACTGAGAAGCCAATGAGGTTATATAATTGCTGTGTTGAGCTTGGTTCATCACACCTTACCAGAGGCTGAGCTGCTGGTGCTACTTACTCCAAGGAGGCCTGATCTGCCCTGCAACCCGGTGGTCTCTCAGCTGACAGACTTCAGAACTTGCCTTCTCATACAAAAGGGGTATCAATGGGGCAGAGCTTCTTTCCTGATAATCGGGGCCTACGTGTGGCTCAGGTCTGCCTGCTTGCGTTCTGTATTTTGCTTTGCCTCAAGCCTGGAGGTAAGAAATCCCCCAACTCCTTTTTGAGTTCTGTCACATGTTAGCTGTGTGCGTCGGTGGAGATTCAGCAGGGACAATTTCTGAAAGGCGAGCGTGGTCCCTGCACTCAGAATGTTTGGGCAGCTGCTAGGGCTACATCAGAATCCAGTTCTGCTGAGAGCAGTATGCCCTCTTTTTCTTTTTAAATCTCTTGTCCATCGTCAGGGAGAGGAGCACAACCCACCACCATCCTTTTGATCTCCTCAGTGCCTTCTTGAGATAGTCTTTCCCCAAAGCAGAGGTTTCCTGGCTTTTTGGGTCCACGGCTCCCTTGACCAACTACATTCTTTCTGTGGCTCCCCTGTGAGGAAATGCGCTCCAAGCCTCAGGAGCCTAGTTATGCCACCCCTTGGCTGCAGAGCCCACAGCCCTTCACCCCTTTTTGAAGACCCTCCCTTGTGGAGTGTTTCTGCAGCCTCCTCTCTTCTCCCCTCTCCTTATGAGTCCTCCGGGCAGCCGCCCCCCATCACTGGGCCACCCCTATCGCAAAGAGTGTTGCCTCCTCACTTGTCTGTCCATTCCCAACAAACAGGACTAGTGGACTGGCTGGCTGGGCTCCCTCAGACACTTGCTTGCTTACTCCGAGGCCGCCTCAGCTCCTGGCAACCAGCACCCCATGGTCAGCCCCAGAGGCACCATACACCTGGGGAGCTTGTAGCCAGGGCTGCTGCAAAATATAGCCTTTGGGAGGCAGAGATTCAAGAGGGCATCAGAAGAGGGAGGGAAGGAAAGAGGGATGGAGGCTAGTGTTGCCCACAGCTCGCCCCCCAACCATCATTCAAGGCACCCCAAAGGTGCCATGACACACTGGTTGAAAACCACTGAACTAGAGTGATTCCACATTGGAGGGAGCTTCTGGTGACAGGCTCTTTCAGCAGAAGAATGGATGTCACTCTGGGGAACAGCTGGGGTTTAACCACCACTATGCTTTGCAGTGCAGCAGCTGCCCATTGGGAAAGAGAACTGTTAGAAAGGGGAGAAGTGTTAGGATTAGCAGGGCCCGTGTGCAAGACTCAAGCTTTGCAGCCCTTGGCTCATCCTTTAACAAAGCCCCTGATTTAATGAGTTTTAAAGTAAGGGCAGTGCTTGCAGGGAGAAACAAACAAAAACAAACAAACAAACAAACAAACATGTCTGTCTTTTACAGTGGATGCTCTGACATGCAGACAATGCTTTTCATATCATTACGAAACGCCATGCGATGTGAGTACGGACACGTGTATCGGAGACATTTGTACGTTTTGGGAAGTATTTTCAGGTAATGAGTCTGTCCCATTTACAGTCTTCCTTTGCATATGCTGGACTAGAATGACAGGATGTAGAGGAGGGTCACAGCCTCCTGACTTTTCAGTGGTTGTAAGCGCTCAATAGGAGCCACATTGGATCAGACCAAAGATCCATCAAAGATGTGGAGTAAACTTTATCCTTTTAAATGTATTCACTTTTGCTATGGGCAAATTCAGTAACATTCTCTTCATACCATACACAATGGTAAATTCAGTAACATTCTCTTCATACCATACACAAATACTTCTCTTTCTCTCTCCAATAGAAAATGATGACTTGATTAAATACTCCAGATCATGCATCTACAATTACTCGAAAGACAGTTGTGGACAGGAAATTTTCCTCGGAAATAACCGATATAAAACAACATGCTGTTATACTGACCTCTGTAATGATGAATAAAATTGAACTCCTCTTGAAATAAAAATTGTCCAGTCTAAAAATATGGCTCAAAAGCTTTACTGACAGAACTTCTTCCAAAACAGACACTCAGAACAATAATGTTACATCTAGAGAGTTGCATAAAATATCATGTGTTTATCCAAGCACAGGTACAGCATCTTATATGACATTAATTCATATAGAAGTGAAAACAAAGCTCTGCCTCTCCTGTAGCCTCCATTACAGTCTGAGGCTGTGTTTCTAGAGAGGATCATTTTCATACCTGTCTCCTTGGTGGCCTGAGAGAGGGAACAAAAGACCAACTCAAACATAATGGAGATTTGCAACTGAATACCTTCCTTATGTAATCTACACACCAACATGAGAGCTAGCAGAGAGCATTCTATGTTAATTGTCCACTGTTAGGCACTCTGAGAAGATTGGGTTCTTTTGTGGAGATTCAGCATGTGTTTCTGTAAAAAAAATATTGTATGCCTAATAAGCTAATTCACCAAAGACATGAAGAAAGATTGGTTTATTACATGAAATGAAAAGAGACAGCAACATTATCAATACAGCAAATGCAGCCTTTTGAGTAAATACCCACCTTAATTATAGAGAGAAAAGAGAGTCCTAACTACTCAAGGCTGAAAAGTTGAGCGTGACAATGTGCCATAGAGCCACACTGAAAGTAGAATAAAATAAGGGAGTGAGGTGGCATACCTAATCAGGAAGGAAGCAGAACCCAATGCCAGGGATCAGAGATTGGTGCCTAATATGAGAGTTAAACTCTCGCATTCCAAATCCTATATCAGCAAGGCAATAGCGCCTCTTACCCATTCCTTGGTATGAGGTTCATATATGAGCATAGGGTATGAGCATAGGGTTGATCCTTGAAAACAGAGCAGAGAGGGGATCGCATTGGGGCTTGTGAGCTACCTAACTATTGATAATGTGTGGTTTAAGCACACTCTGGGGCCAAGTACTCTCTGTGGAGGGGTGAAAGGTCTGCCTGAGTGAGCAAATAATATGTTACCTCAATCCTTTTGAATCATTGGTTATTGTTGCTCGTTCCTGCTTGTTCGACATTCTGCTTACACAGATAAGTTTGAAGTTGAGGGGACATGATCTTAATTTTGGAAAACCATCTGGTTAATTATTCGATTCCTGAATAATAAATGTGTATTAAAATGAATATCATTGTCTGTGACAAGTCTGCTTCCTACTTACAGGAGAGTGATAATTAAATTTTGCTGGCCAGCACCAGATTAGAATGCAGGCATACTAGTAATTAGTAATTAGATTAGTAATGCAAGCATTAATGGTGAGGATGCTTGCTTGTATCTACAAGGTCACTTCTTAGACAGGAGTTTACACCGGGGTCATAGATAACTACTGAAAGGCATATTTTATATTAGACTCATGCTAACTACACTGATGCTATGAACCACATAAATAAACTATGGGCCAAGGACATGCTAGCACCCATTGTTACACATCGCCTTGTTATTTTATAAGAGGGCAATACAGTGGTACCTCTGGTTATGAACTTAATTCGTTCCAGAGGTCCGTTCTTAAGCTGAAACTGTTCTTATCCTGAGGCATTCCTTCACTAATGGGACCTCCCGCTGCACGTGTGCCTCCATTGCACGATTTCCATTCACATCCTGGGTCAAAGTTCCCGGCCAGGAGCAGCTACTTCTGGGTTAGCGGAGCTCGTAACCTGAAGCGTTCCTAACCAGAGGTACCACTGTATAGAAATGCTACTATAAATCAATAAATTGTGCTACACTGAAGGGGCTCACATTTTCATCACAGCTACTTGATAACTCTAGTTTTCAATTACAGTGGTACCTCGGATTACGAACAGCCCTCTTAACGAACTATTCAGTTTGTGAACTTCTGCAAAACTGGAAGTTTACCTTGGTCTACGAACTTTACCTCGGTCTACAAATGGAAGTCAAATAGTGGAAGGGCACCGGTGGTGGAAGACCTCATTAGGGAAAGTGTGCCTCGGTTTAAGAATGACTTCGGTTTAAGAACGGACTTCCGGAATGGATTAAGTTCATAAACCAAGGTACCACTGTAAATAGATGGTGCGGCCAATGCAAAGAAATAGGATGAATGTGCAGAGCAGGTTCACAATTCTGCCCAATGCTCCTGCCCAGTATACAGTGATGTTCAGCTAGAAACCTAGGCACAACTCATTGTTCCATGTCCCTAAGACCCCCTCCAGACTGGGTTTTTATGGTGGGGGTCTCCTGTAACATGTTCTTGACACAACGATAGTGCATTAGTGCTGGATTTCATCTGCTCTGCTTTGTACTGTGATTTCCCCCCAACCATACCACATTATTCCTGCCCAGGGGAGCTATCATGCCACAAAAGTGGGACAAAAATATACTAGAACATTTGTGGTTTTAAAATACCATGGGATTTCTTCAGAAAGTTATGGTATATGCATGAACCACTGAGATTGCCCCAAAACTTTTGCAGGTGCAACATGCGTTGAAAGCAGGATCGCAAGCAGCATCACGAACACAAAAAATCATCAGTGCACAATTTAAAAAGGAAGTCTGGAGGAGCTCTTAAATATACAGTGGTACCTCTTAATTTGTACTTAATTCGTTCCAGAGGTCCGTTCTTAACCTGAAACTGTTCTTAATCTGAAGCACCACTTTAGCTAATGGGGCCTCCTGCTGCTGCTGCGCTGCTGGAGCACAATTTCGGTTCTCATTCTGAAGCAAAGTTCTTAACCCGAGGTACTATTTCTGGGTTAGCGGAATCTGTAACCTGAAGCGTATGTAACCTGAAGCATATGTAACCCGAGGTACCACTGTAAATTAAAATCTGGAGTTGGGAACCCTAGATATTAGCCTAGCCCAAGTGTATCATGATGTTTCTCCCAGTTCTTGCACTCAGGATCCAAAGTGAAATTGATTCAGCCAAATGACTAACCAGCCAACCAACCTGCCATCTTTCCCCAGTTGCACGCATCAACTGTTTTGATGCTATATGGGCCCGGTGAAACAAGAAATATGAGGGTGGACCGAAAACTTATTAAAAGGAAGAATAATTCCTTCTAAGTCAGACATTGTCAGGATTCGGGGAAGCAGCTTCCTCCCTCCCTTTGCCTGTAGATAAGCAGAACAAAGCAAAAATAGTCCCTTACCATTTAAAGAGGCTTTAATGATCACAGCAAAAGAACAAAGAGTCCATTCTCAGAGTAAAGGTGCTCCCAAATAAGGTTTACACCCACTCCCTCCCAAGTCACTTCCTCATCTTGCAACCCACTTTGGTTTCTGAGCTGCCACCTTATCTGCTTGTCATGATCTTGGGCTGGGCGGATGTAGGCTCTCCAACAAGAGTGAGCACTCACACTTTACACTGTGGGTGCCCTTTGAGGATATTTCACCCCTCCCATTGCAAGAATCTGCTAATGCTTCAGAAAGGAGGGGGCGGATTTGGCTCATTACTTATTCCGCTCCAGCCTGACTTCAAAGGGGGAGTCTGAGTGTTATCTGTGTATAGATAAGGTCGCTGCTCATGCAGCTGTAACACTCAGTGCAGCCCAGCATCTCCATTTAGTTTGTAGATAGTTTGTACAGTAGCTGTAGAGAATAAAAGAAAAAGAAAAAAAGCAGAGACATCACCTTGCCAACAAAGGTCCGTATAGTAAATGCTATGGTTTTCCCAGTAGTGATGTATGGAAGTGAGAGCTGGACCATAAAGAAGGCTGATCGCCGAAGAATTGATGCTTTTGAATTATGGTGCTGGAGGAGACTCTTGAGAGTCCCACGGACTGCAAGAAGATCAAACCTCTCCATTCTGAAGGAAATCAGCCCTGAGCGCTCACTGAAAGGACAGATCCTGAAGCTGAGGCTCCAATACTTTGGCCACCTCATGAGAAGAGAAGACTCGCTGGAAAAGACCCTGATGTTGGGAAAGACTGAGGGCACAAGGAGAAGGGGATGGCAGAGGATGAGATGGTTGGACAGTGTTCTCGAAGCTACGAACATGAGTTTGACCAAACTGCGGGAGGCAGTGGAAGTCAGGAGTGCCTGGCGTGCTCTGGTCCATGGGGTCATGAAGAGTCGGACACAACTAAATGACTAAACAACAACATTCTACAGAGCTGTCGTTCGAGTGATTCATGCTCTGCTGTGCTCCGCTGATTACTAGAAGTGAGTTCGGTGCTCACAGCTCTGAGTTGTGAGTCTACAGCACTTAGACCTGCTTCCTGCTTGGAAGGTCTCTGGAAGTGCTTTCCAGATCACCTGGCCCAGTCGGGGCTGAAGAGGTTGAGCCCAGTAGGTGGCACTGGCTCAAAGGCGAAGCTGACACCCTTTGCGGGATTGTGCGCAGCTCTTCGGACCCCAGGGAACTTACTGGTTGTATGGGCTGGCCTGCGCCTCAGTTGTTATTCTTTGGAGGTTCACGCCCAGCCTCAGTTAGTCAATTTACACTGCTGAGAGGTGGGGCCAGTTGCATAAATAGGGGAAGGAGCTGGCAGCAGCCAGGCAGTCAGCTCAGGAGCTTCACCCACCCACCCAACCCTCCCTTTGTTTAATGTTTCTTGTTTGCAGGTTACCCTTTTTTCTTCCGGTTTAGCGGGCGCTGCTACAGTGTATTGACTGTTTGCTGTTGAAGAACCGGGAATAAATTTTCCTGCATTGGCAGGTTTTGTCTTCACCGTAGCAATTTGTCACAACTTTGGTGGTTTAAGGCCTTGGGCGAAATCCTTTAGCCTTTTCTTCCCTAAACAAAAACATCTTGGAGATTCCAGGCCACAGGGAGGTTAGGCTGGCCTCAACCAGAGCCAGGGCTTTTTTGGCTGTGGCTCCGATCTGGTGGAACGCTCTGTCACAAGAGACTAGGGCCTTGCGGGACTTGACATCTTTCCGCAGGGCCTGCAAGACAGAGCTGTTCCACCAGGCAGAAAGCTTGCGGAGCACTTGTGAAAATAAAGAGAGAAAGGGAAACGTAAGACCACCTCTCAATCCCTGGGAACAGACTGCCAAGACTGGATAGATTGGATACTTTGAGACTGCACTCTTTATGG